AAACTTGTAATGAATAAAACTGACAGCAACATTATTAATTAGAAAGAAAAATTACGTAACAAAAAATCATATACGTTTCTTGGAAGTCAAAAAAATCACGGATTTTATGAAATACTTGAAAAAATATTAGATTTTTAGTGAAATAGTGTTAGGGAGATTTGTAGCTGTTTAAATTTAAAATATTTTAGTACAAGAAAATTCTTATGTCCATAAATAAAATTTGATAAAAATGACGTTTGTTTGATAAGACATCTAAAATGTAGACTTTTTGCTGTGTAATATTCAAAAAAATGCTAAATATTACATTTATGTTAAAATAGTGTTAGAGAGATTTGTAGCTGTTTAAATTTAGAATATTTTTGCACAAAAAAATTCTCATGTCCTTAAATAAAATTTGATAAAAATTATGTTTACTAATACTATACTTTTATTACTTTATTATATCTAAAAAAATAGACTTTTGGCAGTGTAAATCCAAAATTTGAAGGGTTTTTGAATAGAAAAGTCGTTGATAAACATAAATATATATTAATATTTTATTAAGATTAGCATTTTAAACAATCTATGTAATATTTATGTCGTTGTTTAAAAAGGATGTTAAGTACTCCTACGCACTTTTGATAATCAAGAAACACAATGAATTAGTTGTTGTGGCACAAATGTGTGTAAAAGTCGTTATAAATGCATAAAACACAACAGACGACTTTGTAAAACCACATGAAATAATTTATAAAAAATATATTATAATGAATGCAAAATATTGCATATTTTTCGGCGAAAAATTGCACGAAAAATGGTAATGGACAAAATGCTCTTCTTCAAAAGTATCTTTTACCATTTTTAGAACCGGATTTAGACTGTATTATTCTAAATCCGGTTCTGTCTGAACCCATAAATTACAATTATTACATTACAATTTATCTAAACCGATAATCGCCATAATTATCTTCTTCCCAAAAAAAAAACGAACATCATTTTTTGTTTCCTAAATGTTCCATTCACTTTTGTTGCGAAAGAATCTCTCAAATTTTTTCTTATTGTTCCATTATTAAATAATTATTATTGCATAAGAATAAAATAAGATGTAGGTACATTATGGTAAAAGAATTACAAATTAGAAATTAGAAATTTCTTTAAAGATGGTAATGGATACCGCAAAATAAGTGCGTGATTGTATGTATGAGAAATTATTATTTTTGTTTATGAAAAAGTATTTGTTGTGCAAATTTTTGAAAGAAAATGTCTTGCTTGAAGCCTTTTTTGTATTTTCTCGTTATTAAGAAATAAATAATTTCATGGGTAATAAATTTTAAACCGCAATTTGCAACTGTCGATAATATAATAAAATCTATTGATGTTGCAAAGTGCATATTATGTATTGCAATTGCAATTCTGAGAACTTGTCTAATTTAAAAATTAAACTTGACAAAATATCGAACAAAATTTTATAAAATTACATTTTAAAATAATTTTTCTTTTACATAGATTGTCTAAATAAAAATTGTAATAGAAATTGATCAATCAGTGGTTGACTCGTATTTGATTTTAGGAATAATTATACGTTTTACTAAATGAAATATTTATTTTTTGTATTTTTTTTATTTAATACACATATCAAAGAAGGACATGGTAAAATTTCAGATTTTCAGCTTAAACCGAACTTTAAAAAAAAATTGAACAAGAATTTTGTTAAACAAGCTCAGGAAAAGTGATTTATATATACTTTCATTTCGAATGCAATTTTAAAGTACACCGAGTTGCTGTAGGGCATTATAATGTTAGACAATATTTTAAAGAATTTCTTTCTGTACAAACTTGTCGAATATTCTAAATAAATTGGACAAACTATTTAAAGTTACAAGAAAAATCTGTTTACTCTGACAAGTGAGTCTTTCGATCAATGTAACTTTTACGTATCTTTTATGTAACAGTAACGAAACATCGATGTTGAACAAATGTCTGTGTGAAATAAATATAAAATAAAATAGATATATTTAAATTGCAATAATCTGGGAAGCAAATTAAATAAATATAAGTTTTATATATTTAAATTGCAATAATCGAGGAATTTTTTTAAAAGGTAGGTTTTGTGCAAAAAATCTGAAATTTTACCATGTCATTCTCTGATATGTGTATTGAATATATAAAATACAAAAAATAAATATTTTATTAAATAAAACGAGTAATTAGACTTTGAAAGTCAGTATGCACTAGCCTAATAATTGATCAAATTTAATCAAACTTGGTTTCTAAATTTTTTTTAAACAACACTATATATATTACAAGCTAAAAATTTAGTATGTTATACCTTATTATATGTAAAAATTAGTAAATACAAAATTTTGCATATTTTGGTGGAAAAATTAAGTAATTAGATCTAAAATTCACAAAATACTTATATAAAACTTAAATTTATTTAATTTGCTTCCTAGATTATTGCAATTTAAATATTTCTGTTTTATTTTATTTTTATTGCACACCGACATTTGTTCAACATTGATGTTTCGTTACTGTTACATAAAAGCTACGTAGATGTTACATTACAGCTACATTGGCCGAAAGACTAACATATCAAGGAGTAAACATATCTTAATCATTTTTCTTGTAACTTTTAAATAGTTTGTCGAATTTATTTAGAATATTCGACAAATTTGTACAGAAATAAATTATTGAATATATATATATATATATGATTTAGTAGTTAATTTTGATGTTGAAATATATGAGTGAGTTCTTGAGGGCGATACATCAAACAAAGAAAAGCCAAAGATTTATATTACTCTTATTTATATACTCTTAAATCCCTCTACACAAACCTGAAATCTCCCACTAGTATAGAACGTACTTCCAACATTGTTTACAAAATAAATTGCAATGATTGCCCTTCTACTTACATAGGTGAAACCGGACAAAATTTAATAAAAAGACTCAAACAACACGACAATAATTCGAAAAACCCCAACCAAAACCAAACTATGATAACAGAACACATAAAAAATTTCAAACACTCCTTTAACTTTTATAATGCCAGTATTCTCTACCATGAACGGAACACCATTCAGAGACGTTTTGCAGAATCTTGTTTCATATCAATATGTGACCACGTGGTGAACAAAAGATCGGATTCCTCCTTACTCTGCGATAACTACCAAGTAATACTAAATAATGTTTCCAAATTTATCTCCTCTGAACAAAACTAATTGACCTTACTAACCTTGCCAACACTTCCTAGTTTAACTTCGACCTTGATACCCGAGCTTTACCTACCCATACATAGCAAATTTTGAATAAACCTTAAAAAAATTTTATTTTAGATTTTTGAGTTATTAGTATAACTACTTAGTAATACTAAATAATATTTCCAATTTTTTTCTCCTAATTCTAACCATACAAACCTAGCCTAACATTACTAGTTTCAACTTCCGACTATTTTCTACCTACCCGCCCATAACAATCCTGGAATGACCCTTAAAAATCTCTCAAAACATGTGGTGACTTTTATACATGCCTCGGTACTAGCAAAGTACAGAAGTCGTGGCAGAAATTACATAATTCTACTTACATTTTTGTTCAATAAAACTATCATTTTTCTGTTTACATCATACAAAAAAATTATATAAAAAAATGCATAGTGCTGACAAGTTAGTTGTATAAATGTTAGTGCCAAATCTCTAGTGCTGTGTACACTTCTCTATATGTAACTAACCAACGTAATGTAAGTCCACTTGTATTTTATATGTATTATCCATCTTCATAAATAATTTGTTTGCTTTACATATATACGAGTTTACATATATTGTATGTTTATATATATATATATATATATGTATTTGTATGTATGTATGTATATATATGTATATTGCTTATTTACATGTATGTTTGTATGTATGTGCATATTTATATGTGTATACATGTAATTATATATACGTATATATGCATGTATGTATGTGTATATATATATATATATATGTATATATATATGTATGTGTATATGTATATATATATATGTATATATATATATATGTATATATATGTATATATATATATATATATATATTTGTGAGCATTTATGTACATATGTATATATATATGTATCGTGTGTATATATATATATATGTATGTATATATATGTATATATATATGTGTGTATATATGTGTATATACATGTTTATGCGTATATGTATGTGTATACGTGTATAGCTATAGTTACATAGATAGGTATGAGTATATGTATGGTTCATACATGTACATGTACGTCGTTGTGAATATGCATGCACGTTGCATATATGTATATACGTATATTTATATGTGTATAGTCTTACATGTATATGTGTACATATATAGGTATATATTGTTGTATCTGTATATGTATATGTGTATTATATGTTTGTATGTGTGTGTATATGGATATATGCATGTATATATATATATATGTATATATATATATGTATATGTGTGTATATGTGTACGTACATATATGTATATATGCGTAAGTTTATATGAGTGTACTTAAATATTTTTGCCTATACTTTTTAATTATTTATTTAATTCTAGTCTCTACTACCTTTCCTATCTTTTATATTTGATTTGTTGTTAAGTGTTGCTATTTGTTAATTTTTCTCTTATTGTATAGTTACTTTACCAATCCACATATATTATAATTACCTAGATATGCTAATTTTCATACTGTTTTTAGATCCACTGATGATGACATTAAATTGAATGTCGAAACGTTTGGAAATAAAGATTATTTTATAAATCTTTGGCTTTTCTTTGTTTGATGTATCGCCCTCAAGAACTCACTCATATATATATATATATATATATATATATATATATATATATATATAAGTATGCACATGTAAGGATTTATATAAAAACCTACTAAATTAAACCCTTAAACCGACAATATTACATTAAAAAATTACAATTACAATTAAACATATTAAATCAAAAATACAACAAAACCAGCAAAAAATAAAAAAATCCCAAAAACATACCCAGATCCTTAAGAAGTGACAACTCTCCTAACCTCAACTTGTCAAAAATCACTTTTTTCTCAAATTCAAACACAAATTTAATTATTTTAAACTACAAAACTAACACCAAAATGTTTATTATTAAATTGTTAATAGCATTTTAATAATTTGTTGTTATTTTATTAACATTTGTCGGTGTTTTTAGTTAAAAGATTGAGAGTGAACTGTTTGTAATGTTTTATTATGCAGTCGGCATCATCTTGTGCGCCATGCGCAGTACTAATAAGAGAGAGGGAAATGTAAGGGATACTCCGCACCATTGTGTGGAAAAAATGATGTTTTGTTAAAGAAAATTTGAGGAATGTGTGTGGTGTGTATGGAAGATTTGTTAACAATGAAATTGTGCATATTTTCTCCATATATAGTATATATATTGGATTCATTTTCTTCACGATATGAACAAAACTTTGAATTCGATATTTCATTCTTAAGCAATAAATATAGAAAATTCGGGAGATATTTTTTTTTGGTTTTTGTCAAATAACTCACGAATATTATATGAAAGTATCATTTTTAAGTGAAACTAGATAAAATTTACAACATTTCCTAGGAAACACTTTTATACACTCCGATATAAAAGTTTTAAACAAAACGACTTTGAATTCGATATTTCATTCTCTAGCAATAAATATAGAGAAGGAAATGTAAGGGAAATTCCGGACCATTGTGTGGAAAAAATGATATTTTGTTAAAGAAAATTTGAGGAAAGTGTGTGGTGTGTATGGAAGATTTGTTAACAATGAAATTGTGCATATTTTCTCCATATATAGTATATACATTGGATTTATTTTCTTCACGATATAAAAGTTTTAAACAAAACTTTTTTGAATTCGATATTTCATTCTTTAGCTATAAATAGAGAATTTGGAACTTTTTTTTGGTCAAATAACTCACGAATATTATATTAAAGCATCCTTTTTAAGTTAGATATGGTGAAACTAGATAAAATTTACAACGTTTCCTAGGAAACATTTTTATTAAATTGGTTTAGTGTTTTGTACATGTTTAAAACAGAATATCCGGGTCACTTTTTTACATTTTGTTAAATTATGCAAAACTTTTGCACTAAGCACTCTATTTTTATTAACTTAGCAGAAACTAGATACAATTTACTACATTTTCATATAAACAGTTATGTACACTCTAATATTAGGTTGTCAAATATCTCCCTTCCGCTTTTTTGCTCTTGGTTTATAATACAAAAAGGCGGAAGGGACATATTTGACAACCTTATATAAAAGTTTTAAATAAATTGGCTTTGAAATCGGTTTTTTGATAATTGCCATAGAAAATTCGGGACATTATTCTATATTTTTTTTGAATAACTCAAATATTTTGTACCGGGTACTCCTTTCTTATTTGCTCAGAAGAAACTAGATAAAATTTACTACATGTTCTTATAAACGGTTATAAACACTTCGATATGAAAGTTTTGGATAAAACAACATTGAAATCGATCTTTTGATAGGTGCAATAGAAAATTTGAGTCATTTTTCTACATTTCTTCAAATATCTCGACGTTTTTTCATCGTAAATAACATTTTTTATTAGTACAGCAGAAACTAGATAAAATATACCTTATCTTTAATCCGTATAAACAATCTTATACATTACCATGTAAATATTACGAATAAATAGAGTTTGAAATCGGTTTTGTGTTGTGTACATAAAATGTAGTACAAATCCATATAAACAATCTTATATACTCCCATATAAAAGTTTTGAATAAGACGACTTCAAAATTAATTTTTTATTGTTCGAATGTTTGCTGTAGAAAATTAAGGACATTTTTTACATTTCTTCAAATAACCCAAAAACTTTTCACTAGGCACTTTATTTTTATTAGCTTACCAGAAACATATCTTTGAATATTTGACTATATAAAATGACCAACACTTTGTTAAAAAAGTTGTCAAATTACTCACAAAGTTTATATGAAAACACTCTTTTTCAATTAGATAGGGTAAAAATAGATGAAATTTACTACAAATCCATATCAACAGTTATATACACTCCTATAGAAATATTTTGAAAAATATTTTGAATAAAACGACCTTGAATTGGATATTTCATTCTTAAGCAATAAATAGAAAAATCGGGACTTTTTTTGGTTTTTGTAACATAACTCAAAAATGTCATATGGAACCACCCTTTTTCAGTTAGACAGGGTGAAACTAGATAAAATTTACAACATTTCCTAGGGAACACTTTTATACACTCCGATATAAAAGTTTTGAATAAAACGACTTTGAATTTGTATATCTAATATCGTATAAAGCAATCCAATGGGAATCCACTAAGATTCCAATTTTTCTAAGAAGATTGCATGCAGCGCCTCTATGTAAAATTGTTCCCAAATCGTGAGGAACTACGTAGTGACTACCGGGTTCATATGGTTCTGTGTTAGATGACGCCACCGGCGCCGAACGTTTCACAGTTATATAAATATACTAGCTGGCCCAGTTTATATGGGAACTGGATATATAAATGTATATTATATCGATTTATACATGATTATATATGGCCTACTGCCTTAGTTTGTATGGAAATTGGATAGATAAATGTATATATTGATTTATACATGATTATATATACACTAACTGTCTCAGTTTGTATGGGAATTGGATATATAAATGTATATATTGATTTATACATGATTATATATAAACTAGCTGTCTCAGTTTGTATGGGAAATGGATATATAAATGTATATATTGATTCATACATGATTATATATATACTAGCTGTCTCAGTTTGTATGGGATTTGGATATATAAATGTATATATCGATTTATACATGATTATATATGGCCCAACTGCCTTAGTTTGTACGAGAATCGGATATATAAATGTACATATTGATTTATACATGATTATATATACACTAACTATCTCAGTTTGTATGGGAATTGGATATATAAATGTATATATTGATTTATACATGATTATATATGGCCTAACTGCCTTAGTTTGTATGGAAATTGGATATATAAATGTATATATTGATTTATACATGATTATATATACACTAACTATCTCAGTTTGTATGGAAATTGGATATATAAATGTATATAATAATTTATACACGATTATATATACACTAACTATCTCAGTTTGTATGGAAATTGGATATATAAATGTATATAATAATTTATACACGATTATATATACACTAACTATCTCAGTTTGTATGGGAATTGGATATATAAATGTATATATTGATTTATACATGATTATATATGGCCTAACTGCCTTAGTTTGTATGGAAATTGGATATATAAATGTATATATTGATTTATACATGATTATATATACACTAACTGTCTCAGTTTGTATGGGAATTGGATATATAAATGTATATATTGATTTATACATGATTATATATATACTAGCTGTCACAGTTTGTATGGGAAATGGATATATAAATGTATATATTAATTTATACACGATTATATATACACTAACTATCTCAGTTTGTATGGGAATTGGATATATAAATGTATATATTGATTTATACATGATTATATATGGCCTAGCTGCCTTAGTTTGTATGGAAATTGGATATATAAATGTATATATTGATTTATACATGATTATATATACACTAACTGTCTCAGTTTGTATGGGAATTGGATATATAAATGTATATATTAATTTATACATGATTATATATACACTAACTGTCTCAGTTTGTATGGGAATTGGATGTATAAATGTATATATTGATTTATACATGATTATATATACACTAACTATCTCAGTTTGTATGGGAATTGGATATATAAATGTATATATTGATTTATACATGATTATATATACACTAACTGTCTCAGTTTGTATGGGAATTGAATATATAAATGTATATATTGATTTATACATAATTATATATATAGTAACTGTCTCAGTTTGTATAGAAATTGGATATATAAATGTATATATTGATTCATACACGATTATAAATTTATATATGGCCACGGTATTTAAGGAAAATGAATATATACATTTATATATATGTATATTTATGTTTGAATCCTTGGATATATATCCCTGACTTTTTGACGAGATTGAAGTGAGTGTAAAATGTTTTATTTACGTTTATATATCGATTTATACACTCAAATCACATCTTTGAAAATATTGAAAATAAAACGGCGGAACAGTTATATACAGTCCGATATAAAAGTTTTGAATGAAACGACTTTGAATTTGATATTTCATGATTCGGGACATTCTTTTGGTTTTTGTCACATAACTCAAAAATTTCATATAGAACTACCCCTTTTCAGTTAGATAGGGTGAAACTAGATAAAATTTACAACATTTCCTAGGAAACACTTTTTTACATTCCTGTATAAAAGTTTTGAATAAAACGACTTTGAATTTGATATTTCAATCTTTAGCAATAAATATAGAAAATTCATATAATTTTTATTACAGTTTTATTACATATATAAATATTTTTGCAGGTGTAAAAGACGGTAGTTTAATTGTTTAAATTTGTTTAGAATTTGGCGTTTGGGATTTGTACGGAATTCAAACTGTCAACTGTCAAATTTGATAGGGTTGCCAGATTTAATTCGAGACGAAAAATGAAGTCTGAAGTTAGATTCATAACAAGTTTGACAGGTGACAGCAAGTTTAAATCAAAATGGCTGACAGTTTCTTATAAATTATTTATTTTATTAAATATTATTATATTATAACAAAACTACACAATTTAGTAAGTGAATATATTATTTGTGCATTATTTTCAATTACAGCTTCAGATATTATATTTGTTTTGTAACGATGTCAATATTATAGTGTACTGCATGTTTGACTGTTCAAATGTTTGGTTAAATTTGTGCAGGTACGTGTTTTTTTTATAAATATTAATTAATACTTGATTTTTAATACTAAAATCAATTGTAGTTGACATATGAAATAAATCTTTGTATGTTTTAATACATATCTACATACGCTCTGCAAAAGTAGATGCTCGTTTTGAGGTTATGAAATTTTCATACTTAATATTTTTTTTTATTTATATTTATTTATTTATATATATACATTATTTTCATATCTCAGTCAGGCAGAGGTGCCTGGTTTCTGTTTACTTTGATCATCTTAGATGAAAATGCATTTTCTTTATACCATAATCACTGCTAATTAC